TAAAAAGAGAAGTAGAAAAATAACACAAAAATATGATAAAATAAGAGTAATAAGTAAATAAAATAAAACATCACGAAAGAAGAATTGGAGTACACATCAGGAGATTTTAAATAAAAACTTGGTGAATGTTAATAGAGCACATGTTGGGTCTTTCAATTGAATTACGGTCCAAATCACAAAACTAAATCAAGTAAATCCAAGACTTTCACACATCTTTACCAGCAATTGTGACTGGCACTGTTTAGCTTCTCCAAAACTCCCACTACCTCCACTGGCCGACACATTTTTCTAATGTCACGGCAATTTTACAATAAAACAAAAAGCCTATTTCTGAAGGCCTTAGCAGGACAAAGACTTTCTTGTTTTAAAACGATGTCTGACTTCTGCCTTGATGGTTTTACATACTTACTAACACAGGCTCCAGCCAGTCTTTTTAATCATTATTCGATACAGCTGCCAAAGTCGGAGGATAAATAGAGCAAACATTATGGAGGAATGCAGCAAGATTTGGCCTGAGATCATGGCGTTATGGATAAAGACTACTGTTACCTTTTAATACAACTTTTGCCAAAGGGGACCAATAAATGAGACCTATTTTGGAACATATTTAGGATATAAGTACAGCAAAATTAAACCAGCTTAGGAGCAACAAAAAATATTAGTCACGCCTCATTTCTAAGTTGTGCAGTCCTCTTATTTTGTACTAAAAACCTGGCACTGACTTAAACAATAAGCGGTGAAAATGGCCTTTTATTGCACATGATGTCATCCAACAGTTGAACTTGAGTGGGTGTTTCAAGTCGGCGATGAGGGCGGACCTGTTCGAAGCAAATGTGTGGAGCAGAACTCCCAGGATAAAGCGCTGCAGGTGTTTGTGAGCATCAGATGACAGGCATGCAGTCTCATTAGGTCATAAATGGCCTCAGGTAAGTTTCAAATCATCTCTGAATTACATCAGCGACTGGAGTGTTTGGAACTTCATCTGACAGCTTTCACCGAGAAGAGGATTTGCACAATGTGGACATTGTGTGATTAAATGCTGAGAGGTGGTCTTTCGTAATGCGTTTATATTACTTGTCCATAAAATGCAGATGTTGGACAGCTTTAATTACACTCAAATCATTTCAAATTCTTTAATTATTTACTTAGGCAGCCTATCTGAGACGAGCTATTCTGAAAATGTGGTTTTCACAAATTAAACAGAAGGAAATGTATGAGCCACATCAAGTTAATATTGTAATCTTTCACATTTTTTAAATAAAAATCTGAAAACTGTGATGAGCATTTGTATTAACCCTCCTTTCCTCCAACAACCCTAAATAAAATCTATTGCAACCACCTGCTTTCAGGAGTCACCTAATGAGTTATTCTGCATAGAAATTTCAGTCAGTAGAGACTTACCCCAACAGATTTGCAGTTGCAGGTAAAGGAGGTTCTGCAAAAAAAAAAAAAAATACATTCACAGACAGGCTGATAACAATTGCTTACCATACTTTTCAGATTTTCTTTGTAAAAATCATGTTGTTTTCCTCATATTTTATAATCATACACTACTCTGAGTTAGACTATCAGCTAAAATCTCAACAAGATGAAGAGCCCACTGCACTGAACCCCATTGAAAACCTCTTGGTTATTCCACTGACTTCTTAACTCTTCCTGAGTTAAAACATTAGTAATGTTGTTTCTAAATGAATATGAACTTGTTATTTTTCATTATTTGAAGCACTGTGTCCTTTTTGTCATTTTCTGCAAATAAATACAACATTTTGCTGTAGATTGTCGGTAGTTCATAGAATAAAAGAACGATGTTCATTCAACTCAAACTCAGACCTATAAAGATTAAAATCTGAAAAACTGATCATTTAAAGTGGTCTCTTATTATTTTCCAGAGCTGCACATTTAAGTTTGCGATTGCGATGTGAAAAGGTTTAAAACATTTTGCAACACTGTTCTTAGCAACACATATTTCCTTGCAGGAGAGACTTTATGGAGAGAACAATGTCCTCTAATGCGCATTGTTTTTCCCTCATACTGGAATAAAGCACAGGCAGGTTTAAACCTGCTTTCTCTGCTTTGTAGCTCAAACAGCCGATGCATTACCTCATGTTGTCTTTGACCTTAGGCTTCTAATGAGTTAAAAATAATGCTGATCGTTTGTTTTTTGTGTGTTTAACAATGGATTCAGTGTGGGCCTGACATGGCATGCACCACTGTATTTTAGGATTCTCTCCTAAAATAGGCAGATCATTATTTTTTTTCTGTACTGATAGTGATCCGAAGCTAAATCCCAACCTTATCTGTACTGAAACTTGACCAAGGGGCCGATCATGCCTTTGTGATGACATAAAGCGAGTGGAAAAGTACAGACCCCCCTGTTTCTGCCATACATATTCTCTCCTCCACCACAGCTATCATCCTCCTTTTATGCGGGTAGCCTCGGTGACATCACCCTTCCAAAAAGTCTTCCAAGTCGTATTTACTCTCTCCAAAAAGAGGAGGGTATCTAACAAAGCAATCACTGACTGGGGTTTGTGGTGAGGGAGCATCGGGGTTTCATTATCATCTTGGGAGGCTATGGTATCTGCTGGCTTTGACATCCTGTCCTCTAAGGTGAGCGTGTTTGACGTGCAGACAGATCCAGGCTGAGGTTTAAATGTTGGGCTGTGGATGTGGGGAAAGCAGCGTCAGTGTGTGGAGGAAGAGGAGGAGGACTGCAGGGTAAACAGCATAAGGAAGGTGTTACAGTAGCGTAATCCAACTGAGCTGGCAGAGAGGGAACACCTGGTTCAAATCTAATCACACAGTCACTCTGAAGAAACAAATTTGCATCCTTTTAAAATGTTTACATAGCAAATAAGAAAACAAAATCAAGGTAATTTAATTTTATTACCATAACCATTTTTTCAAACTAACTCCAGAAATGGAGCTGCAGTTGATCTCTCTGGGCGCTCAAGTGATGTACTGATCCACTATTTTCACTTCTGATACCGATACTGATATCTGAGGTTTAGTATCAGTCGATCAAGTATCAGTGATATTTTTTTTTCTCATCATTACATTCGAAACTAAGCTCTTTTCATTTTTTGTTTAAATCATTTTATTTAATCATAAATATTTGAAGAATTGTTAATTATCTTACCTGCTACTATTTTAGAATAATAAAAACCTCTTAATCTTTATTAATTTTATTTTAGTAAGATTATTGAAATTTTGTTTCAAAGTAACAAAAAACTCTCAATTCGGTTTTAAAGTTAAATAAATGCTATTTTAAAAGAATAAATGTTTCTCAATATTCATTCAGCAAAAATGTGAGAGAAATGTGAGAAAGACAACATACACACACACATATATATATATATATATATATATATATATATATATATATATATATATATGTGCACTACTTATGATACTAATTTAACAAATTATGTTAAGATCAAACTCTCCCTGCACTGCTTTTCCACTAATCCCAGATGGGGTTGCAAAAGTGACCAGATGATTGACCAGAAGAGGAAAACGTTTTTTCTCCAGCCAGCTCTGAGTCTGCTTTGTTCAGGAGGTACAAACCATTTAATGCGTCAGGTTTCTGACACAACTTAACTAATTTCTTTGAGAATATTGATGTAGTAAGACTACACTATTAAAAATACATGAGCCGCTCTGGGGTCGTGTGTTGGCTTCGGATGCCAAACGACTGGTGAGGGCATGGACATGCAGATTTGTACCATCACAATCTGGATGTGGAAACATTATTATAATGTACATTTATAATGTACATAAACTCATGGAGCCTAAACTCCATGAGTTTAGGCTTACCCTAAACTCATCTCCATGTTGCTGCAACTTTCACTGATGTTCTTTTAGAAGTAAAACAACCTCAAAATGAAACTGAAGCAGTTTGCACAAAGTGAAACTTCTAAGTCTGCAAAACAAAGCTAGCTTACACCATTAAAACACTTTGCGCTTCTGAGGCAGACGCTTAATTCTTATTTTCCATGCACAGCAAATGTTGCGTGGTCAAGGCAGGAAGAGTTAATTTAACAGTGTACGCAATTAGCATTTCACCGAAATCGAGGTAGTCGCACACTGCGTAACCACTAAACACATAAACTGCTTTCGCAAAGAGTCGCTTGCCTACCAACGAAGGAAAATGCCATTTTGAAGTTCGCCAAACCTCATGAACTCCACCCATTCTCTGTGAGTAACTTCCCAGGGTGTGCAGAGTGTTTCTCTGATTTCAAGCTGCAGCACATAAAACTCTTCTTTAGATGACTTCATCATGAAACCAGAGCTCATTTAGAAGCGTTGTTAACCATGATGACTGTGACTGTCGAATGGAGTCCTGCTGAGAAAGTGCTGTCTCACTGCTGGCTGGTTGTACTTCCTAAAAAAACACCACGTGAACACAGAGGAGATCAGGAAAAAAAAAACAAAAAAGGGGGAATGAATGTTTTGATGTTCTATGATTTCACTACATAACAGAGACTCAAAACAGTATTCACATCGGGCTTTTGGTTACAACCATAAACCTTCATGTATTTTAATATGATTTGACATGATACACCAAGACAAGGAAGAAAGAAAATGATTCATGATTTGGGATCGACCCCCCTTTACTCTGATGCCCCTTAAATGGAATCGATTACAAACACTTGCCTTGTTATCTGTAAATAAGGCCTCGAGAGTTTTTCAGAAGCCAAAATCTCGAAACAAACACGTCAGGGATAAAGTTGTGGAGATTTGGGTTGTAAAACAATATCTCAATCTTTGAGCACAGAGCACTGTTCATCCATCATCTGGAAATATAAAGAGAATGACGAGGAGAGCATTAATCAAAGGAGGAGCAGAGATCCAAGGCTTAGGAGAATCTATTTGTTGTACGCTGTCATATTTAATATATACAGCATTTTTATGTATGTCAGTGGTAACATCATTACTTTATTATTCTATAAAATGCCACTATATGCCTGGAAAATACATAATACTTCCCCTTTAACACCACCTTGCATTGGTCTATGACCACAAAATCCCAATAAAATCCATTGAAGTTTGAGGTATTATGACTTTTTTCAAGGAATTGCAAGTCAAGTGTTGTTGGAAAAAGGGAATACAATAGCTGCCTGTACTGCTGCGAGAGTCTTCAAGGCAGGTGCAGAGGTCAAGTCAGAGGGCAGCGGTGTGAAGAGTGAGAGCTCCTTTTAAGGGAAGAGGCAGATTTCCCCCTCTGCTCCCTGCAAATATTTTCTCTGCTGTTTGCCCTCTTAATCCCCCTCAGCCCCCCTGATACTGTCAGGAGCAAACCACCTCTGTTATTTCAATCAGTCAGCCCAACATTTGCTCTCCGAAACCCCAGCGACCGTAAAGGAGTGGCGGGTTTCATCATCTGCTCGGCTGCTCCAGCAGAAAACACTCCACACTTGTGGTGCCAAAGCTGCTCTGCTCCGTTCAGCTGTGACCTGTGAGACAACTGCTCCTTTCTGATGGGGGTGGAAGGAGTGGAGCCTGGGGTTGAGTCCGTCACTAATAGACTGACTGAGCTGCCATGAGCCTCTGAAGCTCGTCCTCCTCTTTCGTGTCTTTTCTTGCGTATAAGCAGCACAACACCTTGGGGCAAAGCTTGCTCATCAAAGAGGAGGTAAGGGAGAGGCAGCGTGGGAGTGTGTGCGGGTGATTCGGTCGAGGACATTACCTCATGGAGGATAAGCAGAGACTGAAGAGGTCTAACAGAGGTAACAGCCCTTGACTCCATTGCTCTCTGCCGCTTATCGGAGCAGCTTTTCTGCTCGGGTTCAGAGGGAAGTTTTGACAGCCAGGCTTTACAGCTCCCTGATCTGTCACTCCTGACGGAGAGAGAAAGAGAGAGAGAAGGACAGGCAGAGTGACGAAGTGGTGACTTCATCCCTTATCCTAACAAGCCCTTCTCTCTCCCCCTCCTTTTCCGAGCTTCCCTTTTTCTCTTTTTGTTCCCTCCCAATACTTCAGCGCAGCACGCTCAGGCAGCATGCCAGTGTTCATCTTGCTGCGCTCCCTGGTCATCAGGCTCCTCAGCAGCAGACTGGCAGGCTCTCTGGCTCAGTTCCTCAGGAGAAGCCTCTCAACCGGCGCTGCCCACCTTGGCACGGCGTTGAGGCACATCTGGGACCGCGTTCGATCCCAGGAGTCAAAGGAAGCCGTCCTGGGCTGCGTCCTGTGCATTCTCAACATGCACAAGAAGGTGGAGAACTGATCTCACTCTCTCTTCACTTTCTGAGCAAGAGACTGGACAGCTGTTTAGGGGACATAAGTGAGTTTTCTATATATATATTTTTTTACCAGGATGTCTGAGAGTATTGTAAGGAAGGTGCAGCCCTTCACCATTGGAACCAGGCTCTCTGTTCCTTCTGTAACTAAATGCCAGGAGTTTCCACAGAGTTATCTGCCCAGTGAGGCTCTGGATAATTGCGTTTTACAGCGCAACCTGAACTCGCTCTACCTCAGCACATCCCAGGTCTGTGCACATGGCTCCCGTCTTGTTTTACCGACCGTCGACCAGACGGCCCCCGTCAAAATCCAGCCGGAGCACGTGGCGGCGGAGGACCACCTCAACCAGAACATCGCCTCTCCTTCTGCCGTCTCCAGATCCATCAAAAAGATCACCATCTCTGGGAGCAAAGACCAATCAGACTCCAAGACAGTGCTGGGACCGGTCACATGCTCCACGTCTGGAAACAACAACAACAACAACAACATCAGCAGCAACAGCAGCAGCAGCAGCAGCAGCACTCCAGATCAACATCTGCCAAAAATCGTGGAGGTTAGCTGCAAAAATAAGCCCAGCTCTCAATTTAAGGTACAAAATACATTATCACTTGTTTTTATTGATATTTTATATATTCAAAAAGTATATTTTTAGTTCTAAGCACAAAATTTAAATTAATTTAAGTTCAGTTAATGAATTAATTTAATTTAGGGCAAAAGCAAAAATAAAAATCAGAGAATGTATTATGCATCTATTCTATTTTGTAAAAGCAGAATGGATATTTATCCAAAATAAAACAAACAAAAATGTTTAGGACTTAATTTCTTAAAATATTAACAAATAAATAATGCTGCTGATTATGGTGATAATGATGAGGGATTTTTTTTTTTAATAAATATTGGATTATGTCAAAAATAAAAAAAAATTCAGTACAACACAACAGTGAAAAATGACAATTTATTAAAATGAATAGGAAAAATGCTAAAAATTGTGGGCTACAATTAATCTTAATTAAATAATTGTTTGCTAAATTAACACAATAATAATAATATAACTATAATAAGAATAATGCTGATAATAATAATTATTATTAAATTAATAGCAATAATAAAAAATTAAATAAATACAAATGATTGTTATCATTATTATTACTACTATGAATCGCTAAGTAAGAAAGTAACAAACTGACCAACTAACAATATAATACTACAGACAGTTTTATAGTCTGTAGTATTATTTATTCTCGTATAAAACACTTATGCAACATGAGTGTAACACAGTTTGTGTTTTATTATCTACTGAAACATTTTACTGTTTGTTTAAATCTTTTAGGTTTTACTCAGCAAAGACGGAAGTGATGAATTTCTGCCTGTGCAGGAACAAACTTGGGAAAAACTAAATGGAGAGAAATCAGTCGAGGTAAGATCCTAACTTGACGGCTATTTTTAAGCGAACACATGTTAGAAAAGCGTTAATTTCTGTTAACTGAGTGAAAAGTTGTAACAACAAATAAATTCTGGGCTCCCAAGTGATTATTTGTACCAAAGGAAAGTTACATTTTTAGCAGATTTTTCTAAGTAAAATAAATAAATAAAATACGACAAAGACTCACCCACCAATAAAAAGACATAAAAAAAATGGCCATGGACTTTTAGTGCTTTTGCTAACCTGAAATATGTTACTAAATTAAATCTCATGGAGATGAAATATAAACATTTCATCTCTGATCAAGTTGTAGTTTAATAACCATTAACATTTATAAAAGAAATGTTTGCAAAGAATTTGGCCCATCGAAGTGGTGTTAAAGTGCATGTAAAGTATGAAGAGCTCAGCAGATCTGGAAGAGGCAGGGCTTACTGGAAAACATGAAGTCAGGGAAGATGTTAACAAAAGAAAAACCTCACTGAGGTGTTAAAATAACATGCCTCCTCAGTTCTGGCTGCATTTCTCTCTAATCTGACACATCATTTTGTTTTCTCTCAACAAAACTGGCTTGTTTTTCCTCCACCCACATGTTGTAAACAACAGAGAAATTGCTTGTAGCAAAAATATTTTTGGTATATTCACTTTCAGAGGTGAATACTTTACATGAAACTGACCCGGATCTGTTGGTTCCTGCTTCCTTCTCGTGCCCAGATGTTTCCTGAGGGGAGAGGAGGAACGCCTCTCCGTTACTGTAACTGTGCCAGCCGCACTCATTTCACTTTGGATGGTGCTGACAGTAGGGCTTTGTTAGGTGGGAACTTGGGAACAACCCAACACATGCTGTGATATCTTCAGGACCAAATGGATCCTAAATAGAGTTTGATCTGTGCGCAGAGGGGATTCTTAGCGTTGGTCAGCGTAGTTTACTGTGAACTATGGATGACTTAGACTGTGCTACTGGGGGCACTCAAAGATCATTAACTGGACTGCAAATATGTAATAAAAAAAACTTGGTTGGCGTGCCATTTCCATCTGTGCACTTTTAAAACCCTTGGAAAAAGATTCCTGGGCAGGGACAATGTTTGGGCGCAAATGTCCAAATAAGGTCGTCAGAGTAACAGCGTTGGGAAAACTTTTTATGAGTTACAAATTGTACAGTCATCAACTCGTTTAAGATCATAAATTTCTTTTAAAAAGGAAACTTATTGACTGATTTAAAATTCCTTTAAATCCGTTTTTTTAAACCGGAAAAAATGAAAAGTTGCTGCTTCTTGATAAAGTTTGATAATAAAACAACACAAGCTCAGAGGTGGCTCCAGGTTAATTTGTTGGTCTATCAATTTGTACCTCTAATTAAATTTTGCTTTCATTTCCTGTCTGTAACCAACCCCTTCCGTATTAATAAGCTTAAACCATGTTCTTACTTTTCCTTGTATTTAAGCGTTTTTATCAATTAACAAACAATGCATGGTACACCATGTCCTACGCAGAAAGTCAGGAATAAAACAACTAAAACTGTAAGGAAATATGGAAGAGGCAGATTTAAATGAGCCATTTCTGAACGGTTAAATTGTCTCTCAGAGTTCACTATTGGTTGCCCCCTGCTGGCCTGGAGGTCTAATGCGTGCGTGCTTTACTTCAGAAGGCATAATTACAGCAAATAAAAATTTACTGATGTAATTAGACACATGTATTAATACTAGAGAAACAGCGGTATTTACTTGCCCTGGTTTTTACCTTCTTCTGTGCATTTTGTGGTCACACAGATTTCAGCACCTGAGCTGCAGAAAAAAGAGCTTGAGAGGAGAGAAAGTCATCAGCAGGACGAAGCGCTGGCAGCTGCTAAATCCCACGGTGAATGCTTCACTCAGCGAAACTTTCTCTTCAACAAAGAAGCACTGCAGGTAAAACAGGCAAAGCAAACACACAATGTGAATGTTTATTCTGCACTGTAAAGCTGTGTAAGAGGCGCCTATACATGAAATGAAGTTCATGAATGAAACCCTTTTTAGTAGCTTATCAGGACTTTTAATCTCCTTTGATGGATAGAAAGCGCCGTAAATTCATCTCCGAAACATGAAGTAATGCTGCTGAGATGAAATCAGAAAGGAAGCTGCCTTCTGCGTGACCCTCCAGTGGGAACAAAATATGTACTGGTTCTTATTTTGTCTCAAGAACTGTGTGAGCTGTGTTCAGCAGGGGGAGGGGAGGGGAGGGGAGGGGAAGCCGCCACAACCAATTATTTAGGGATGAGATCATCGTTTGGCTCCGTCTCTTCACGCCTATGGCTGAGAGAAACTCAGCCAAGCAGCGCAACTGGTTGTGTTATCTCGTCGCAGCGTCCCCTCCGGAGCACACACAGACGTTTTCATGGAGTTTAACAGAGCGACGTTTTGTCCATGCAGTCGCGTTTGTCATCAAAGTCTCTGTCGAACAAGCGATACGCAGTAAACTCCCGAAAACAGGAATTTCATTTCGGATGTGTCCGCTGAAACAAACATGTGACATGTGGCTGTGCTGAAAGTAGCTTCACATTTGTAAAAAAAAAAAAAAAAAAAAAAAGTATAGCTCTCTAAAATATTTTTGATAATTGGTGTTTTTGAGTGCTGTTGTTTTTGAAAATGTTTTAGTGCTCCGCTGCTCTGAAAGCGGAAGTGAGATTTCCATTCAGAGACGTTTAAAGGCCCCTAATGGTTCACGCTTCGAGGGAAAAGCAGGTCGCCTAATGGAGAGACGTTTCTTTTTCTGCAGCTGCTCTGCAAAACATCTCGCCTTTCACCATTTACTGTTTTATGATAGAAAAAGTGGAGAAAAAAAACTTAATCTCCCACTTTATTTCAAGCCAAGCTGTGTTCCTTTTTGAGAGGTGAAACATAGTGATAGACGATTTTAAGGGGTGAAGATTTAACTTGTTGAAAGGGGATTTTTTTTTTTTTCTGTCCACTGCAACAACGATACCTTGCCAAACAAAGATCTCCAACAGTTTATTTTCTAAAACCAGCCCTTGGAAATTAAGCACTTTCCAAAGAGTTATTAAAACATGGAGCTATAGAGATTATCTCTGAAGGTGGAGCTCAGGTCTGGGAATGACGTCACACCTGAGTTGAGGACTATAGGGATTTAGTAATTGTTTGTGACTGCTGGCATTTCTCTCCAGTCTATGCATTCAAAAATGTGAAAGCGCATGTTCACAGGTTGAAGCTATACAGCTCAAAGTGCGTTTTTGATTTAATGTAAATGCAACCCAACATGAAAAATGATGAAACCATATATTCTTTATATGAGTGGCAGCTTTGACCAAGGAATATGTTGCACAACAATTAGCAAATCAACTTAAACTCGTTCATCTCAGGTGTGATGCAATCGTCAGACATGAGCTCAATCTGCAAATAGTACAGCAGAAAGAAACAATGATCCACATGGACCAGAACACTGACACAGTTTTATGGACTATTCCTTATCTGTCTTGCTTTGTCCTGACTGTATTTTCATCAAGTTTAAAATTTAAGCTGAAGACTCGAGAGACAGAGTAAATTATGTCCAAAAAAAAAAAAAACAATAGTTATATTGGTTTTTTGGTTAATAAAATCTGCAAATACTTCAGATTTCCTCTAAAAACGCACATAGTTTCCTATATTAATAATTCAAACATCAAATTAACTTTTATGCATGGTGAGGTATTTCAGATGCCAGCTGCATTTTCTGTAGAATATTTTTGATTTACTATCCATAACTAGGTTTTCCTCGAATAACTTCCACAAGAAAACTTGTGAATTGGTGAATCCATTAATACTAAACCGTTTGGCCCTATTTCGTTTTAATGTTAACCTCCATTTGATACTCTTTGAGCAAATCACTTCATATCAGTAAAATCAACTATTGCATGCCATTTCATCTCCCTCAGCTTCAACAAAGTATTTCAGGAAGTTTGGAGATAAATAATGATTAAAAAAAAAAATACTTAAATCTAATGTAAAATACAACACCAGAAAAGTTAATTTCAACACATTTAGTTTAAAGTAAAAATGTGTGTGAATCAATACACAGTTCCTATGAAATTTCCAGTGGCATACTTCTCATTGTACCTGAAAAGTTTTGGAAAAAAAACAACCACAAACTACAAAAATATGAAATGGTGGATCGAGCCAAAATGGCCTCATCAGTCTTCATGACAAAATAGGATTTTCCAGATTCAAAGTTTGAAATAGAATAAGAATCCTTCCTTTTATAGGAATTTTAACAGGAAAAATGTAAGCTTCTGAATCAGCCAGACAAGGCTGTTGTGTTGTGTACATATTAAGTGATGAAAGTTTTTGTGTAAATCTATTCTCTCCTTAGTAGTTTCACAAATAATGCTATTGAGAACCTTCTTTTTGTATTTCAACACGTAAAGCAGAGAGAAATAGATTTTTATTGGCTTGTGTTCTGACTTGTAGTTTGCATAAGAACAATTATCAAATCCCACGAGTTTTCTCATTTCTATCCAGAGCTTTTTCTTTTGAACTCTTGACATTATTTTTTAGCCATCTAGTGGTGCAATATTGTATTATATCATATTAGAAACCAGGAAACATTTCACAAACAGAGAACAAAACATGTGGAGTCATGTAACCATTTTCCAAAGTTTTCATTCTGATTAAAGGCTTTTCAGGAGGATTTATTTCAGTGGTGATTATTTAAAGTTGACATTTTTGTTTCCATTTCTTGTGACTAGAACAAACCCTAATTGCACATTTTGATAAACAGACCATTGTTGTGGTGAGTGGACAGGAAGAAACAAACGAATCATAGACTTCCTGCATGAGGTCATTATAATGCCATGGGAGCCATTGTGAGCAGATATGGGCAAGCCTGTTGTGTGAGGCTGCTTTCCCTCTTCTTAACCCAGCAATATGTCTGCAGCCTGGGGGTTGGAGCGCTTCGGAAAGTTAATGACCCCCTTTCTCTGGGGAAGAGTAACATCACTCTTTAAGCACGACCCAAAAGTGGCTCAATCGTGTGTTCACCCTTGATGTATTTTATAGATTTAGAAGTCGGGTTAAAGTTCTCTTTTTTTTTTTCTTTTTTTTTTTTTACCCTTCTCCATAAAATGTTTTGGTGTGACGTTATTATGACTTAGTTGTGGCTTGAACCTTTATTTGACACTCTGCAGCATATGAGGTTCTTCTGATTTTATCGCTGTTATGCCTCATGTGGGATCATTCTGACAGGAGCAAGAATCTAACCTGATTTATTGGACTTTTTTTGTGTGTGTTTCAGACGTATGTGGCTCATTGACTTCCATGCCATGTTCTCTTTAAGAAAACAAATACGCTCCTTCAGACATTTCACATTTTGGCCACCTTGTTTGGCGGCCTTCTTACTTCATGCGAAGTGCTGATGGAAAAGGCAGCTTTTCAAGACAAAGCCTTATGCAACCGAGTCCGAGCTCCAGCCAAGACAAACCTCCGCTCCACATAGCATGACATTGGAGAACATGAGGCTGTTTTTCATGTTCCCAAACCGTCATAACACCGTAGGGTAGAGTAAAAATATACCACAGTCACTTAATAATGGGTACAATGATAAAAAAGAAACGCTTCTCAAGTGTAAAGTAAAATTGAATCCCGGTGTGATGATAAATGAGCGACTACACGAGCTGTAATGAACATCTGAAACAGTTTGTGTCTTTTTTTTTTGGTGATGCAGGCAGAAGCGTGGATGAAAAGCAAACTCCAGGACCTGAAAGACGGATGTAACGTTCAGCATCGGCCCCTGCATGACTGGGAGGAAGCCTCGCAGACGCTTCACAGAGACCTGAAAGACTTCGAGAACACCCTGATTCAGCTCAACCAGGTCACAAACCCACTGCGCACTCATGATTTAAATTTCAAATGTGTAGATGTATGTGATGGTGATCTGATTAAATGTATTAAGATGGCATAAATTAATGATTACATTTTGTCACATTACGTTCACAAACTTCATTGTATTTTATAAGGACTTTATCTCATAGACAGACAGCAAAGTAGCACAGTTAAGATTAAGGAAAGTTATTTGTTACACATAAAAACCTGAAAAACACAGCATGCCTCTGTATTCAGTCCTTTTTACTCTGGCAGGGTTAAATAAAAGCAGTTGCCATCAGAAGTCAGTTAAAGCACCAGATTGTATCAAACTATAATTATTATTCTTTGAAGTTCACAAATTAAGCTTTCTAATTAAATCTCAAATTTAAATGTTAAATTATTTCAAATCTTTGAATTTATTTACGCTTTATCCAGTTCAGATATACAGCCAGATCTACAACTGGATGGTTTATATTAAAGTATAACCAGATTTGAAGGTGCCATAAATTTAACTCACAATCCGTAGTTGGATTTGAATATTTCTGCTTTCTGACATAATCCAGATTAACAGGGAAACATTTCTCCAGATTTGTAGAGCTAGTTGGGATGAATCTTTGAAGATTTAGTGTAATTGCAGCAGAAATGTTTTTGTTTTAAAGCTGTGAAAACGTTGAAATAGTTTTTCAAGACACTTTGTATACATATCCACCTTTACTATTCTAGATCAAAATAATGTTTGGAAAGTTTGAATTGTCGTAATAATTCTTCCTTAACCAACAAATCCAGACAACTGGTAGAACAACTGGTAGAGTTAACCGTGTTATTTGTCCAGCTGCCTCCAGCTCAAATGAACCGAGTCTTATTTCTCTAAAGCTGGGTGAACAGCTGATCTGCAAGCTGAACCCAACGTCCGACCTGGTGAAGAAGCAGCTCAGTCAGCTCAGGGAACAGTGGCAAACCCTGAAGCAGATGGCCGCAAATCAGACCCACGCTCTGGGTGGAGCCAGGAGCCTGCAGGAATTCAACAGGAAGGTGGACAAACTGGAAGCTTGGATTAAAGAGAAGGTAAGAAGCCATGTTTTCTAAAACTGAAATATAAATTTATTTATTCATATGGAGAGAAAATGGTCTCAAAATACCTGTGCATGTGTAACACTGGATTTGTAATCCGTGTAAGCATCTTTGTGTGTAACTTTGGACTGTTGTATCTGTGAAACATAATTTGTAAACCGTAAAAAGAAAATTTTTACGGTGACAAGCACAGTGACAAACGTTCAGAGGATGAAAACACTATAGACTTCGAGCAAAAATCAGATGAAAATCAGATGACCCAGCGTGCGTAAATGTGGCATTTAAATGCCACATTTACGCACGAATCCGAGGCGGTTTGTAAGCGTGAAACGAGTCTGAAAAATCCTCATGGACTCATAACCAGGTGTCTGTGTGCATCAGGCGACTTGTGCATACTTATTTAACATTTGGAGGCGTAGGAGGAGGTTTGAATTCGATATTATCAGATTTGTGAGGCTGAAGTTAAAAAATGTGTGTGTAGAAATTTAACGATTGTAGAAATTGTAATTGTGTGTGTGTGTGTGTGTACTTTTATTTTGTATTCGTAATTTCTTCATATTCGTGTCACATGCATTTGACCACATATTTACAAGTACCTGGAGTTACAAATTTAGTTTTTCCAGTTTACAAATCATGTTTCACAGATACAACTCACAGAGATGCTTACACCACGGATTACAAATCCAGTATTACACACACACACACAGAGATATTTTGAGACTGTTTTCACTCCATAGTTAGACAACCTGATCAACAGTTGTCAAGATAATTAGTACTCAAGTGGCTCTTCCTTATACAGGAAATACACTCGGCATCCTGAAGACATTTCCTTCTTTCTCTTTTATTTTTTGAACATGCATACTCACTGTTTAAAACATCTGCCTATCATTACAAAAAAACAAGCCAGGGAGTAAATTCTAGGTTGGTGTTTATCGCTCTGTTCCTGACTGCGTCAGGCACAAGGGAGAGAGGAATGGATGATGAATCTGTGGGATTGTAATGAAGGAGATTAATTGTGAAATCTATAAAACTTTCATTCCCCACTTCATCATTCAGGATTAAAGTATTTCATATTCATTTTGAATGCAATATCCAGCTTAGTTGGGATGCATTTGATGCCTTTATTGATGCATTTGAACTATTATTTTTCAAGAAAAAGTAATAATTCAACCTCAGTGATTTTGAGCCCACATGTTTTTTTTTAAAGATCAACAACATTTCACCAAATTTTCAAGTTGAAAATACAGATGAACCACAAAAATAAAATCAATTTTGGGGGGAGAAAGTTTAAAATATGTCCCATCTTTGCCTGCTCAACAATGAACATTTTAATAAAACTAAACAATCGTCTGATTATAAAAACCGTTTCTCACATTTACTCAATCAAAAGAAGGGTCTGTTCTCCATTGTCTTGGGCAAGAAGTTGTCGGTGTCTCTTTCTTTGAAAACATTTGATATATTTAGTGCTCAAGTCTGTTTCTGGGTAAAGATCTGGTATATTTTTGGTCCTATGAAGCTTAAAGAGAAAACAACTAAGAAGATTTTAATGCGTCAGTAAAAGTACCACCTTAAAATATTTTTGAAAAAGTGTCCGTTTGCAAAGAACTGTGGTTTCAAATTTGAACAAAATCCCTCCAGTGGCCTCTAATGAACTCCACGCTGCACTTTGGAGCCCCTTCCCTGAAGCTAATGTGACATCCATGCCTTTGGGATGACCGAATGCGAAGATCTGACCAGAACTCTGTTTTATATCTTCCTTGTTGCATAAGTAATGTTTTTTTTTTTTTTTTGCCACTGTGCGTCTGAAAATAAATGATTGTTGGGTTTCTTGCAAAAACCACTTCTATAAACAGTAACTTTCTGTGTGACAGAAGGAAGAGGAGCAGTCTCTGGTGAGTGTCCTGGGGGAAAATGTTGACAAAATGCAGCTCACCAGGAGAATTCTTGATCTCAAACAGGTCAGCCTTGTAAAAATGGATTTAAAACAATGCATAACTTACACTGACAAAAGCTTTGTACCAGTTAAACAATGCATTCCCAGATGGTAACAGCCTTATTTATCAGTGTCCCCTGTCTGATTGTAAACAGACCTTCAGGACATTCAGGAAGGGAAACTAAAGTCTCTGCTCTTTTTGCGACAGGATGAGCAGCTCCACAGAAACCTGCATGAGGAGATCAACAACTTGGCCTTGAAGCTGGAGAAACTGGGGAAGGCAGATGGCAAAAACATCACCATCAGGAAGAAACACATCAATAAAATGTATGCTCTGTGCTTTACGCGAAACGTAAATGCTTCATGTAACATCTTCAGGCTGAAACCACAAGGCGTAATGTTCTTCATGCAGGTGGCTGAAGGTCCAGTCGTACCTGAAAAACTACCACGAGAACCTTCAGGTCGCGCTGGAGATGTCGTCTTTTTACCAGCAGGCTGATAATACTCTGGATGCTATAAACAACATGGTAAAGTGACAGAAAGCCCAATACTAAATCATAATTATGTTCTGAGAGCTTCTTATTAACTCTCTGTTTTAGATGTTTCAAAAATTGGCATTAAGGCAGAATCAAAACAGAGGCAGATACAAATGTTTGTTTCAAGGATTTTTACTTGATGGAGGAGAAGTACTAGAGCAGTTTATCGAACTTCTAACTAACAAAGGAAATTATCTTGCTTATATACACGTCTGCGCGCTTTGCACACATCTAATGGGGATATTTTAGATTAGAGGACCAAAGTCTCAGCGAGATCTAGAGAAACTCATCCATGCGTTTATCTGTAGTCGCATCGATTACTGCTACAGTGCCTTCGCAGGTCTGCCTACAAAAATCAGACAGCTGCAGCTGGTCCAGAATGCTGCTGCTGTCGTTCTCACTAAAACCAGGAAGATGGAGCACATAACACCAGTTCTAAAGTCCCTGCACTGGCTCCCTGTAGCTCAGAGAATACACTTAAAATACTGTTGTTAGTTTATAAATCACTGAAATGCTTCGCACCACAATACATTAAAGATCTGCTGTTGTTGTATCAACCTTCCAGACCTCTCAGGTCTTCTAGCTCTGCATCCCCAGAACCAGAAGCAAACATAGAGAAGCAGCATTCAGCTTCTATGCACCACAAATCTGAAACAAACTTCCAGAAAACAGTTGAAACATTGAATTCCTTTATATCTGACTACAAACCCAGCAGTTTAAAGTTGCTTTTGAAACATAGTCATGAATCATTAATCAATAATCTGATGTGTAATAATGGTAAAATGTCATGTTGTTGACTGTGTGTTTTATGACTTTGTATTTTTGCGTTTTTATGATGTAAAGCACTTTGAAATGCCTTATTGCTAAAAGGCGCTATGCAAATAAAACCTGATTGATTAATTTTTGCAACCCGGAAAAACCACCTAGAAACTCCGAGTTTCCATTTCCAACAAGAAATAAACTTATGAGTTTAGTCTTTCTACATGATATAAATACTGCAATGTGTATTTTTCACACCAACCGTCAATGTGTCACATTATTCTGAAATCATACAAAGGTCTGGAAATATGAGGTCAATAAACAAGAAATATAAGACAAAGCAGAAATAATGCAATCAATAAATGCAACAAGTTTAAAAGCAAAATACAAGATAAGTAATAAAATAATAATCCACTGATGATAACTGTAACATATTTTCCCAACAGAGGAGAAGCATGCCTGCATCCAAAGACCTGGACACCTTTGGCGACAGAGAAATCCGCGACATTGCCGGTCAAATCATGGTAAGAACAGAGTTTTTTCCCCATCCTGCATGCTGCTCCAGAAGCCGTCTCCGCCTAACTGCAGGCCTGTGTTCGGTAGATGCTGGATGTGAGCGTGTCTCAGCTGCCCAAACTGCACCCCGGCCTGGCTGCCGGCGTCACAAAGAAGCAGGCCGAAGTGAAAGACTGCTGGGCGCTCCTCCAGAGGGATCTAAGGTACGTCACCGGTGAGGATGAAGTGTGTTCTACACATTGGGGTGGAAAGCTGCAAACTTCTGTAATGATCTGGAAGATGGATCTACGTGAAAGACGCATTACGTCAACTCTGCTACACTGATTTGCTTTGTTCTCACCATTAAAACAGTGACATCATCTCAGTCGGTCAATTTGCTGAATCTGAGATGAAAAAAAACATTAACAAGAATATTTTGTAACTTTATGGAGTCATTATTTGTTTGTTTAATAGCGTACAGTTTGTATCCAGACTGTTACATCACTGGGAGTTTTTCGCTATCAGAAAAAAAAATCTCCAACAAGTAATAATGACTCTCTTTGTTTTGTTTTTCAGCAATGTCAGCTGGATTTTGTTACAGTGGCGCTGCATGTACAATAAGCTAATATTCTTTAGAAGTAGTAGCAGTTTGTCTTAGCGTTAGATAAATGAATCTGTTGTTTATAGCAGAAGGAAACATTGCAAGAAGTGTTATTTTATTCTGGAACAAAAAACGTTACATTGACAAATTGGACACAGTGATTGATTGGGATTGCTTATGGAGGGAAAGGACGTGCAAGTCAAGAGAAGGAAAAGAAAGAAGCAAAATGAAAAGAAATAAAAGGAAACTAAAGTGAAAAACAGAAGCAACTAGCTGAGCCTTCATTGCAAATTTGCACAAAACTTTAATGTTATTCCGCTAATATACCCCCTCCCCCACCCACACCCACAAGTTTGCAATTGCAATGTTTCAAGAAGCGCAATTCAAATCACACGTGAATAAATTTGTTCATGCAATAAGCCTTTAAAAACACGATCTTCCAACTACTTCCTGTCGTCGTCTTCTTTGTGGTTTGTGCCAGTGGCAACATCAAGTTGTTAATCATGTGACTCATGTGATGTGATGTGAAAAACAGTTTTTGCAAAATAAACCAATGTTGATACTTCCAAAAAAATCCACCTTGTGCCAAAACCTTTTACTGTCGTATTTCCATTAAGCACATTTATTTTTAAAACGTCAAATTGCTCAATTGTATGGCCAATGGAAACAGCTACTGACAAGAAAGGGAACCAATCCAAAGGAATGTGAACAAAGGAAATAAAATGTGACAAATGTGAAGAAAGGGAGCAAATGAGTGTAAAAGAAACAAAGTGAAGGAAAGGAAAATAACAAGTTACTTCTCATGTAAAAAAGCAGACGTGTCCAGATTCCTAACATCCAAACATTTCTCAGACGCAGCCTCCCATGAGAGTGGCCTATCTTTTGCTCCCAACTCTACATCGTTTCAGCTGTTCTATCAGCTCTAGTTTTAACTATTTAAGTGGAATAAAACAAACAGTGGTAGAAAACCTCATAGCCTTAACTGGAGTTCAGCGCTGGTCTCTGAGGTCCAGCTGTCAGCACCAAAGTAACCTCCTGCTCCGCCTGCAGGAGCGACAGGACGACAGACTCCCTCTCCGGCTCCACTTTCACCAGGGAAGACGCTGACCTCCTGACTCCAGCGCGAGAAGCCCAATGCATCATGGGATCTGAGACACATGGGATCATGGGAAAAGAGGTGAAGGAGGAGCAGAACCGTCTGAAAGGCAGCAGAGTGAGTAGTGGCAGGAGATAAGATCTGTGGCTGCAGTAAATGACTCACTTTGTATTTTTGTTTGGAAAATGCCGGATTTGCAGCTTAGTCAAGGTTTTTCCAAAATAAAGTCCGACAAATGAGCCAGGCTGCAACTTCTGGTTTTGGCAACAAACACGCTGCTGGTTTTCCATCCCTTCCAGCAGCTTAATTGCACTTAAAAGCACCTTGTGATGTTCCAGTTTAGAGCCATCCCTTCGTCACATACAGTCAGAACAGATTCCTCTTCTGGCTCTGAAACTCCTGCATGTTGGAGAGCACCATATAATTTTACTTGGTTTCTGCTAGCCTTATCCTTAATCTGACAAATAAAATCCAAGTCTGGGGTTGTCTCTGATGCTGCTGCCCTGTGAAAGTCATAGGAAGAGCTTTTAGGATGTTGTTTATCCTGGCACAGGATTTCTTTAAGTTTCCACTGAAAATATCAAGTTCTGTACGGTTAAACAGAGTGCCAGGGTAAATGGGTCTTTCTATTGAGCTCCAAATCCTATTTAAAGTCGACTGTATATCCATTATGTCATAAATACAGTCATTTATTAACGTCATATGAATAAAATGTCTGGGATTCACTGCTGGGTTGCTTTTTGAGCATGAGGTTTCTCAAAGCTTTATTGAACATGTGCATGCTCCTACAGTAACCCAAGAGCTGCTGATAAACCTACAAGGAAATACTCTTGGCTTCTTTTGAAAAAATAAGCATCGGAAAACGACGTGGTATGTCAAAAACCAGTAATTATGTGTATTTTTAGTCTTTTACGTTCACGATTTGAGCTACTTAGAAGAAAAGGAAAGAGACCCTTTGGACAAAGCTAACCAGAAGTGCGCTTCTAAAGTTTGGCAGATGTTCGTTTCATTTTGTCATGAGAGAAAATATCTAATAGAAGGTGGAAGAATTGTTGATTTCAGTTTGGGCATGTACTGGTCCGACTGGTCCGGCTCCAGTCTTCCCTTAACTGGGAGCTGGGATCTGCTGGGATGCACTATCTGTGTTCCTATTTATGGAAGAGATTGAAAAAAACCATTCTTAATAAAGCCCTGCGTTGTCAAAATCCAACGCCATCACTGTAAACAGGTGCAGGTGCAGAAGTTTTTGAATTATATGATTTTATTTTATTTATTTATCATCCATGAAACATGTTCCTATATAGCAGGGTTCCACTGTGCAGACAGGAAAAATATGAAATGTGTGTTGGGGTTATGCGAGTACAGATCTGGATAAGTATGGAAAGATGTTTGTTTACAGACTCTATTCTCCATCACATTTTTTTTTTAAATTGGATACATCTACCCATAATTCTATCTGTTTCTCTGTCTTTTCTTGTCCGTCCATCCATCCATCCATCCATCCATCCATCCATCCATCCATCCCTATTTATGCTTTTTAGTAGGGTTGGGCATTTATCGTATCGTTTCTCATTTATCGAGATACATTTCTTATTAGATTTTGATATGTCATGATAAATTCCAATAAATATTTGGAAATCCTTTAAACTGTCTGTATTTTTAGGATTGTTATTTTTGCTATTTTTCTATATCTTCTTATCAATAAGTACCAGTAAATTTTAAAATATTATTAAATCTAGCTACAGTGTGCATTTAAGTAACACAAACCAGACTTCTTTATGTGACTGGAGTCTTAAAGAAGCATATTATAAATGGGTATCTTTTGTGTTTGTGAGGCTAATTGCTGCACCATTCAGTCACAGCTGTTCAGTTACATAAAAAATAAGAAATATTTCCTCTTATCACTTTTATCTATATCACGATAGTATCATAAAATATTGGGACACAACTTTAAGTCCATATCGCCCATCCCTACTTTTCAGGTATTCTATGTGACGTTACAGTTTATTGTTAGCCTAGTATCAGTGTGTGCAGTCATCAGTATCTCAGAGGAACTGCTTGGAATGTGATATTTATTGGTTGTTTATAATCCAAGTGTGAGGAATTCACACTTCAAGTGCCAACAAAAGATCCAGCCTACTGGATGGCGCTACAGATGCCCACACCTCACACAGATGGTGGATTTTAAGATGCCAAAGGTCACAGAGATAAAGAGGATGGAGGGAAATGTGGATTCATCACGACTGAAATTGTCATCGCATGACTTTCTCTCACGGTTCAGCCCAAATATCCGTGATGTTTTTCACATAGATTGGTCTCTCTTGAAAGATGAATGGTAAACTGCCCCAGTCTTATCGTCTCTGTACCTATGAGAACATGCCTCACTCAGTAGTCCATGCATCATTGTCTTTGTGTTAGCGGTACTTACGGCCTCTTGTTTCTGGAGGTAAACATGGCTATCGTCTGTTTCTCCGACTAATTGCGGCCAGATGCTGCGGCTGCAGACCAGATGGGCTCGGCGCAAAATGATAGTTCTTGGCTGACATCACCTCGGAGCGCAGGACGGTTAGACACTCCGAGGTGGAAAGGATCAGCAGAATACAGATAAGAAACCTTACAGAGAGAGGAAATGGTGAGCTATAATGAGACATGATTAGGTTTACTGTTACATATCAGTATTAATACCACAATGATATAATCACTTGTTTTTGAGCAAAAGCCACTACGAACAAGGAAAGAGAGAAGCAACCATGTTGCTTTGAGAAACTGATAGTTAATATCAAATAAATGTAATAATTTGTTAGTTCTCTGCAAATAAATGGCCTGATTACATCCTGTAGTTATTTATATATATATATATATATATATATATTACAATTGAATATTTAATACATTTCATATTTATACATTACAGCATAGTTAGCTTTGATTGATTGAAAAAATATTTTTTTAAATTCCACATTACTCAAAAGCCTTGCCTTCAAATATATATACATATATAAAAAAGATTTAAATTACAAGCCAAAGACAGTTTACTAATATAAATCTGTGAACATGATGAAAAATATAACAGATAAATAATAAGACAAAGTCATTAATTNTTTTTGCCACTTGTCTCCACGACCTTGTGCTTTCGGACAGTACCCATTGTTTATGTCATGGGAAAAATTTCTTGTTATAAGTAAAATAATCTGCCAATGGAACAAGTACTTTTTTGCCATTAATGATTTATTATTATTAGGAAGTAAACACAAGCCTATCTTGTTAAAAAGTTACTTCTAACTAACAAGTGTGCTAATATATTTGCACTAGAAACTAGACCAAAAATGCTTGGTAAGATTTTGTGTTTTTGCAGTGAGCAGCTCTCTCACAACCACAACAGACCGGTAGTTTTCACATCACTGCAGACGCCACACAAATCCACCTTTTGAGAGGTAAAAACGAAGTTCTTTGAATTACTATGCAAATCATTTTTTCCTCCATTGACTCACTGTGTACAGCAACAGGTCAACTACAATAAAAAGCTAATTGTAGGCACACCCCCACAGATGTGGCACTAACAGATGACATGCCCACATATTCAACATGAAGTTTCCTGAATAACTGCAGCAGGGAGACATCACCAGACACCCACTCTGCAGTTTGCCTCCAATGCTCACCAAGGCTGTTCCCAGGCAGTAAATGGGTGTGGTCTTCACTGACTGGTTGAACATACCAGAATGCTGACACACACAAACACACATTCACTCAGAGAACACAGAAGCTGTTTCTCTCTTCCTCTGCTCCATTTTCCAACCCAGCTGAAGCGTCTTCTATAAGGTTGGTGGTGGAGTTTTTAGAGTTAGTAATCAATATTTAACTCTTTTTCTTCTGTTCTGTTGTATTTAATAGTTTCTTTTTTTGTTTTGTTGCTATAAAATAGACCTGGACTTTTCAATATCTTGCTTGGGAACGTCTGTAGCTGACAAGTTGTTGGAAAGCAAATATGTCTCTGCCATTGTCCTTCCTGATATGTCTGTCAGTCTTCAACCTGTGTTTGGGAACTGGGCCTGTGGAGGAAGTCATTAAAGTCAGTAAGTAGAGAAATGGATGCAATGTGTCCTGAATAGACATGTTTAATTTTGTAACACAACAAAGTGGTGAAAATGTAAACATATCCAAACTAAGCTTAGAGTTTGATGAGTTTCAACTGTTCAGCCATGAACACAAAATCATGGCCAACAGTCAGGAAACAAATCAAACATCAAAGTGCAACTTTGTGGTTTCATGTAAACATTCTGACACATCGTCAAAATATTAATTCATGTTTTTTTTTAAAGAAAATCTATTATTTAACAAAGAAGCTAATTTATTTCCATCAGCCTTTGAAACCCCTTAGTCAGAGTTCCCCAAACTTTTTCCTGTGAGGGCCACATAACTTTTCCCTTCTCTGGTGGGGGGCCGGAGTCAGTTTGTAACAGAAAAAGTGTGACCATTGCAGGAGTGCCTAAATGTAAAAATTTATTGTTTTCCAGAAAGCACAATCAAATAACCCCCTCTGGGTTCTTCATAGAAAGAAATCCAGAAAATAACACTATTTGTGAAATAAATACCGTATTTCCCGGACCATAAGCCGCATCGGACTATAAACCGCAGATATCTCTGCTGCTCCAGATTTTCCACAACGATGCAGCAGCAGCAGAGTGGGGTGGACACCCAAAATTTGAGTCATAACAGGTCAACTGAATGTCACATTTATTATGGTTGAAAAAGAAAAAGTTGCCAAGTTTAGATTTAACTGAACCGGTAGTTTCCAAACGGTAACTATAACAGTAAAAGTGCTGATCCTTCGTGTCTGCTACTAGCATGTGCTAAATGAAAATGGGCGTCTTCTTCTTCTGCTTCTTTAGATTTCAAGGGCAGCTTGCATCCAATATTGTTGCACTACTGCCATCTACTGGATCCTAATATCTATACCTCAAATTCTCATAATGATCCCAGTATTATTTAAAAAAACGAAACTTCATGGTCAAATAAGTTGTGTGTTTGTGGATTTATTCCACAGCTGATGACTCCTCACTGCAATATCATTGAGTACAAGTCAGACGTTTTGCTTCAACTACAAGTCAGATGAATTCATCATTGTCAGAGTGCTTTATATTTTGGCAGAGGAAACATTAGTTTTGGATAAAAAAAAGAAGATAGTGCTGCTATTTAGCAGGTCTTTAAATTGGATGTAAAAAGGATAATTTATTGTAATCTAATACCTTATTGTGTCATAATTCCTTTGAGGTTTTACTTTAATGAAACCATATCTGTGGTGACATTAATTTGTGCAGTTAATGAAATTCAAATCCAAAATAAAGCTTGAAGAAAAGCCTTGTTTGCCTCTTTGTTCCAAAGTTCTGATCAGCTAAGAGGCTGAATAAGGAAGTACAAAGTTGGGTGTGATCAACACCCAGTTCTTCACATTCCAATTAGACATGAGAATTCGTTTTGGACTGGATGGGGATGGAACATGCAACAGCTGTTGCATTTTCTTAAAGGTTGAAATACTTCCATCTTTATAAGGTGGAAGTAACAAGAATTGTGTGAATTTGAAATAATCATGTCAACACCAGTTACATGCATGACAGAGTTCACAACATGAATAAAGTGGTAAATGGAAAAATACTCACAGGATCCAAACATACGCTCCACTAGGAAGTTTACAATTCTCCTGTAGCTCGGATTGTTTGTTTATGGTTGTTGTCCTGCTGTAAGGTGACCGTTTAAGTTTCCTATTTCATTGTGTAAAAGAGGTTCTGTGATGTGAGATAAAGCCACTGCACTGCTGGTCAAAAGGGCCAGAATGATGAGACTCTTTCTTGACCTTTCTTTAGCCCTACAAACTGATTCAAGCTCAACAGTTTTTGTCTCTATTCTGTGATCTTTGTTTACATTGTTACTGATATGCTGTATGTTACAGTGTATATACATGTGTCTTTCAGAAAAAGTGCATCTTTTAGGGGGTTGGTCTGAAAGAAGTCTTGAGTCAAAAGATGTTCAGAGGGCGGCTCAATATGCTGTGGAGATGTACAACAAAGATTCACAGGACAAGGAGTTGTTCAAGCTGGTCTCAGTTACCAGTGCTAAATCCCAGGTTGGACTGATCTTCCTTAAAAAATTTAATGAACCCAATCAAAACATACTTCTATTCACTGTTTTATCTGGGTCTTTCTGCAGGTAACCAATATGATCAACTTTAAAATTGACGCAATCCTTGGAAGAACCAAATGTCTTAAGACGCAAAACCTTGACATTAAAAGCTGCGATTTGGACAAAGAGGTAAATCTTTTCACCTTCTGTTCTTTATGTAACCATTAAGAAAAGTTTCAATTTTCATTCAACACTTATTGTCGTCTTCTCTTTCACAGCAAGTAAAGTGTCAGTTTTTTGTGACTTTGAACCCCCACAACGACAAACATGAGCTGAACACCAAAACATGCAACAAAGTTACATAGAAGGGTTAATACTTTTTTACAATGTCAAGATAACCAAAGATCATCCCATTATTTCCATGCTGGAGATTTTAGGTTATCAGTAACAATACATGAAGTTACCTTTAAAATGAATTACACAAAGTAGCATCTAAACCCAAAAGTAAAATCAAACTTCAATAAAATCAGTGAGGTTGTGTGTTTGTTTTGTCTCATGCAAGCTTTACTTTTAACCTATTTCCTTTTGTATTTAATCATTAGAAATCATAGTCAGGCAGAGAGAGAGAGAGAGAGAGAGAGGTGCAAAGCCATGAAACAGGAACAGCAGGCTTCATGATAAAAGGAAGTAAATTTCCAGCCGGCGGATTTATAGAAATATTTGAGACTATTCCTTATTTCAATACAAGAAAGTTTTAAATAAGAAATTCTTATCAAAATTAGTAATTGAATAAGACCCAAAGCAAAATACTTATATTGATAATGTTTTCTCTTGTAAGAATGAACAACTGTAACTTTGGTTTCAAACAATAAGAATAATGGATGATTCCTGGTTTCTTTTCATAAGAACACCTATAATTACTCACAATATGATTATAAGAGTAACTAATCAGGCATGATTATCATAATATTATAAATTACTGCTAAATCTAAAGCTAAAGAGGTTATAGATGTGATTTTGATACTGAACTTGAAATGATGTAAAATATGTAGCTGCAATCAGAGATCACTGATGTTGTTTTGGAGGTAGATAGTAGGTGAAGGATTAGAGGAAAGAGGAACTAGAAGGAGAGCAGAGATGACCAACACCTCAGAGTTTGATGATTTGGAAACAGATTGTTGCAACTCAAACTGTTAGAAGAAAAAGACTGTGCAGGTATAGAGTTTAGGGAGACATTTGAGCAACACCAGGACATGAACACAGAGATCAGGTCATAATGTCTCTAAGACAATGATGGACACGAGGTCATCTATTCAAACAGACGGCCAATAATACAAGCATGACAACAGTGACAGCTAATGCAAGTGTATCTGTAGGGTGGAGAAACCCTATAAAAGGTGAAAGCAAAAGAGGAACCTTTGGTTGGATCCTCCAGGCAGATTTTAGCCAAAATTGAGATGGACAAAGAACTCTGCAGCTGAAGAAGATCCTGAACCAGAGATAGTCGAAGAATGTCCTGTGCACGGGGACCAACCGATCAGCCTCAAATTGCACTCCTCTCATTATCTAAATTCAGACCCCAACGATAAAGGCAACGAACAAAGGTGAAGAAGAGGAACTGGGGCCTTCTTTCCGTGCGTTCAGCTCGCCTACATCTCAGCGTACCAGAAAGATCTTGAAACAAGATGAAGGGGCTTCAGATTTGCAAGACAAGAAGCTGAGGATCGCAACACGCATGAGGAAATCACTCTAAGATCCAAGACCTGCAGCTCTACATCAGTACTCTTCCTGGCAGCACTTAAGGCCTGTGTGACCTCACATCCATGCAGAGACACCTGCCCTGATCAATCAGCGTTGTAAGTCTCCTCCTGCTGGAACACGTTCTTCATCGTCAGGCTGGTTCTGGAGTTCGAAATTCCATACACCGTCCATCTCTCAAAGGTTCTCTATTTAGTTCTCAGTGTCAGCATTAGGGAAAGATAGGATAGATAGGTTGATTGATTTTTCTGATTTGATTATTTCTGCTATTGCATTAAGCTGTACTGTCCTTCGCAAAATTGTCTTACTAATAAATATTCAGCATAAAGAAAAATCTAAAAGATGTTGTGGACATTCAATTAATGAGTCACCTCAAAGTTCTTTGATGGTCGTAAAATAGCTATGATGCCTTATTCTGGAGAGAAAACGGTGGAAAACATTTCATAGACTTCTTTAACCCCAAAACTGTATGTAAAACACCCTGGAGTCACTAAAACCAACCTGGTTCAGTAACAAGTGCAGGTTGTAACAAAGAGCGACCGTTAACATGTGTGGTCTGTGAAACTAGTTGGCTGCAGGCTTCTCAGTCTGACTAACTCACAGGGGGAAGAAGGGTGGGACACCTGGATGGAGGTCGTCAGGAACCAGGCGAGTCTTTCTCAACAGGCCAGCAGTTTACCTCAGTTCTGGACAGGGTGATACACAGCAGATTTAGAAAACTCAATTTACTCATTAGATGGAGAGCTGGGAGCAGGTCTCACCCTCTCAGAAAGAAAAGTAGAGAGAGAAGGCGGTGGAGGGGGTGCACCAACAAAAACAGCCTAAAATATTTGTATAGGTTCACAATTGTGATTGGTTTTAAGAAACCTTTAATACACACCCTAACATGTTGCACCTAATTCAATGGAAATAGTAAAACTGGGTGTAGATTATTTTTTTGGGAGAACAATCAAAAAGTCATATGTTTAGCTTTTATAACTGTTGGCAAAATGGATAAACGTTGGTTTATCAGTTTTTTGTGACTTTTTTGGACGTTTGTAGTGTTTGTCTTAAAACTACTCTAGCCCAGTGATGGTGCATTATTACTCTCCAACCAGATTTCTGACAGAAGACTGAGCTTCAGATTCCACATCTGTCTGGTTTTATGGTGACTAAATATCAGTGTTGTAGTAGTCGAGACCGGTCTCCAGACCATTTTTTGATGGTTTCGTCTCGGACTCGACCGCATTTGGTCTCGGTCTTGTCTCAGTCTCGGGCGCTGAGGACTTGGGATTTTATTTCGAGACCAGTCAAGAACACAACTGTGGAAATATCACTAAATGACCAGCATACTGTCCAGTTTATTTGTTAACATCTTTGTTTTCACTGGATGCAAAATGCACCGATTAAAATCCAAGCAATAACTTGACTTACCAATTACGTGTTTGTGTTACTCCCACCACTTCCGTCCACCTCCCTGCCCACCTTTCACTCGGACGCGGCAGTCCATGACATGCGCAGTGGATTTTTATGAGCGGCATAAGATGTCTGTGTCATCGTTACAGTCTTACACTGAAAATGTTTTCCTCATTTCAGCATTTACTTACTCTACCTGTTTTACAGTTTGACTTTTAAAGGCCCCTAAGCTTGTGAAACATAAATACATAATATATCACATAAATCATATATTTTATATTAACCCACAGAGATGAGAAACTTTCTAAATTCCACACAGGTCTTTCATGAGATTTTTATGGCAAATAATCTTCGTTTGTTCTATCTGATAAATGCTAACCAATTTAAATATAAATTAGTGGAATGCAATCTGTTCTTAAACTTACAGAAATAACAACACAAAGGTTTTATTTGTCACTTTTAAAATTCAGTAAATAAACATATTGGCATCAAAATTTACAACTGAATACTTCACAGTTTTTCTTAAAAAAAAAAAAATCAAGTTTATGGAAAAAAAAGCTACAAATATAGTTCCATTATAGGATTTTGTGCTGTATCATACATTTTTTTTATACTGTTTTTCCCCCCAATTTTTTTTCATAATCTAAATGTTACAAAAAAGAAAATGTTTTCAGATGATTTTAGTTCCTCAGAAATACTTTTTCTTCCTTCCACTGACTTCGGAAGTGGTTAGACACTGACTTCAGAAGTATGACCACTTAAAGCCCATATGCTGAGCTTTAAGATATGAGGGGACATCTTAAAGCTCAGCATATGGGACAGCAGTCTGTGCTGGTGTTGGTACCTGACACAAACACAAATCCACGAAAGTTATCAGTGAAAATCAAGAGAATCAAAAAACATGGAAGTTAAAATGATGTCTGGCTCCACCAAGAGGCCAACAAGTGTTACTGCATCTTTAAGCATCTGTGACAAATGTACTGAAAATATGAATGTCGATACAGCACTTGTAAAGTTAAGTATTTTTCAAAAATAATACACCAGAAGCAACATAAAATCCTTTTTGTGAATAAAATTACCCACTTACTTGTTGATGACCCTTTGAATCTCTCTGTTTTCCTCCTCTCTGAGTTTGAGCAGAAACTGATCCAAGATGGGTAGCTCCAAGTTCAGATACTGAGCAACCTGAGCACAAGAAAAGGAACTTGGTGTTTTGAGAAAAATCTGACTGACTTTCACTCAGTCAATAATTGATACACCAAGATTTAAACAAGGTTAGCCAAAAGTGGCTTTTGTTTCATCCACTTGGTCTATTTGAGGTACTTTTCTCCTTGATTGCATTATGTATATTATTTATTACAACCTTGCGTTCTTAGATGCTATATGTTAACTTACCAGAACAAATCTCCCATTAAAAGTTGTTTTCTACTTAATTTTGTCACAATAGATGACAAAAGAAAACCAAAACATATTTTAGAGTAACCTTAGATGGTTTCCAAGCATTTGCCTGTTTAATCAAGATGCCGCAACATGTCAATTCTTGATCTTTGAGCCAAATAACCCACACCCTGCAAATGTGATCTTAACTACTTTTGCAAAAAGTTAAATCTGTGCCCCAAAGGTGGACTTTGATGAACTATTTTTTGGAACATCTAGGAAATCTAGTGACCAGAAAAGAAAATGCAAGAATATCCTCTTTTATAGGGTTACTAAATTTTACATCCCCAAATCTTGAATAATTGACAATCTGAATAATTGACAATCTGTAGTCAATTTCCAGAAAGCAAATAGATAGTATCAAACTGTGATCAACATAAAACACTAAAAAGAAAATAATGGATCATTATCAGTCATGAATCTAGTTTTTTTAACGAAAGATTGACATGAAAAAGTCATTGGCCGTAGCTGTATAAACAAAGTTGTGGAGACAAATGGCAAAAAAGGGTTTCCTACTCACAGGAAAAGTGTTTTTGCCGCTTGTCTCCACAACCTTGTGCTTTCGGACAGTACTCATTGCTCATAGGAAAAATATATTGATATAAGTAAAATAATGTACCAATGGAATTAGTACTTTTTTGCCACTAATGATTTATTAGGAAGTAAACACAAGCTTCTGTATCTTGCTAAAAAGTTACTTTTAAGTTAGTTTTTTTTTTAACTTCATATTTTTGCAGTGCCACAACAGACCGGTAGTTTTCACATCACTGCAGACGCCACACCAATCCACCGTTTGAGAGGTAAAAACTAAGTTCTTTTATTTATTATGTGGATCAATTTTCCTCCATTGACTCACTGTGTACAGCAACAGGTTTTTGCTCAACTACAATAAAAAAAGCTAATTGTAGGCACACCCCCACATACGTGGCACTAACAGATGACATGCCCACATATTCAACATGAAGTTTCCTGAATAACTGCAGCAGGGAGACATCACCAGACACCCACTCTGCAGTTTGCCTCCAATGCTCACCAAGGCTGCTGATGGCTTAGAAGCATGCATGGCGTCACTCCCAGGTTGTAGGTGGGTGTGGTCTTCACTGACTGGTTGAACATAAAAGCTTGAATGCTGACACACACAAACACACATTCACTCAGAGAACACAGAAGCTGTTTCCCTCTTTCTCTGCTCCATTTCCCCCCCAGCTGAAGCGACATCTATAAGGTTGATGTGGACTTTTTACAGTTAGTAATCAATATTTAACTGTTTTTCTTCTGTTCTGTTGTATTTAATAGTTTCTTTTTTTATGTTTGGTTCCTATAAAATAGACCTGGACTTTCCAGTATCTTGCAAAGTTCTTGGGAACGTCTGTAGCTGGCAAGTTGTTGGGAAGCAAATATGTCTCTGCCATTGTCCTTCCTGATATGTCTGTCAGTCTTCAACCTGTGTTTGGGAACTGGGCCTATGGAGGAACTCATTATACCCAGTAAGTAGAGAAATGGATGCAATGTGTCCTGAATAGACATGTTTAATTTTGTAACACAATATAGTGGTTAAAATGTAAACATATCCAAACTAAGTTTAGAGTTTGATGAGTTTCAACTGTTCAGCCATGAACACGAAATCACGGCCAACAGTCAGGAAACAAATCAAACAACATTAAAGTGCAACTTTGTGGTTTCATGTAAACATTCTGACACATCGTCAAATGTAAGAGCTAAAATATTAAATCTTTTTTTGTTTTTTTTAAGAAAATCTATTAGATAACAAAGAATGTAGTTTGTTTCCATCAGCCTGTGAAACCCCTTAGTGATAACAGAGAATCTAAGTAAATGGTAAGATAGGTAACAAAATTGTCTATAAATTTGAAAACAATTGATGATGATTCTGCAAAAAGAAAGGACACGTTCTATAACTGTGTGGCTTGCAGACTTTATGGTCAAATAAGTGGTGTGTTTGTGGATTTATTCCACAGCTGATGACTCCTCACTGCAATATCATTAAGTACAAGTCAGACGTTTTGCTTCAGCTACAAGTCAGATGAATTCATCATTGTCAGAGTGCTTTATATTTTGGCAGAGGAAACGTTAGTTTTGGATAAAAAAAAGACTCACCACTTTATTGTGTTAAATTGAATTTATAAAGGGCTTCTTTTTTACCGTGTCTTATTTCCTTTTGGATTTTATCTTAATGGAATCATATATGAGGTGTGCAGTTAATGAAATTCAAATCCAAAATAAAGCTTGAAGAAAAGCCCTGTTTGCTTCTTTGTTCCAAAGTTCTGATCAGCAAAGACAGGGTTCCCCAAACTTTTTCCTGTGAGGGCCACATAACTTTTCCCTTCTCTGGTGGGGGGCCGGAGTCAGTTTGTAACAGAAAAAGTGTGACAATTGCAGGAGTGCCTAAATGTAAAAATGTATTTCCCAGAAAGCACAATCAAATAACCCCCTCTGGGTTCTTCACAGAACCAAAGTCAGGAAATAACACTATTTATGAAATAAATACCGT